TAAAATTTTTTTATTTAGTAAATAGTTATTAAAATTTAATACCCAAAATTTTAATTAACTAATATTTTGATTTTAATTACAATCAAAACCTAACCGTAGCTACCCGTTGTTAATGGATAGTGCTGACAAAAGTGAATCCAAGAACTGGAAACTCAATAACTTACTTGTATTGAAAAATTAAAAAAGTATTTTATAATTTAAACCCTATTGAATTATAAAACACTAATTATTAGATTAAAAAAAAACTTAATATTAGAAGAAGGTTTTTTATTTAATAGTTAATATTTTATAATTCTATGCATACCAGAGTATAAAACACTATATTCTTTAAAAATTACATATATTTAAACACGAATTTTTTGTTTGACAATAAAACAAAGGTTAAAACTCTTTTTTGGTTTCTGAACTATTGTACAGACCTCTGATTTGATCTCTAAACTAAAAAAATCTCTGATTTGGTCCCTACTATTTACCATTTTTACCCCGATTTAATCCTTCTGTTAAAAATTGTGTGACGTGGCCTGTTACTTCACGGTTACCAAATGACATGTCATATAATAATCCACGTGGAAGATAATATAGCCAAAAAGTGATGATGTGGAAAAAATAATAATATAAAAAAATATTATAAAAAATAAAACTTAAAATTTTTTTTTTTTTTTATCTTTTTTTCTTTTCTTTCTCCTTCCCCTTTCCCTTTCTCTTTCTCCTTCCCCTTTCCCTTCTCTTTCCCCTCGAAACCCAGCAGGCCTGGGTTCCTTGCGAACCCACCCAAGCGCTGGGTTCGTAAGGACGCTTGCTTGGGTTTGCATTCCTTGCGAACCCAACGGCTGGGTTCGCAAGGAACCCAAGCGTGCTGGGTTCGTAAGGACGCTTGCTTGGGTTCGCATTCCTTGCGAACTACGAACCCAGCGCCTGGGTTCGCATTCCTTGTGAACCCAGTGCCTGGGTTCGCAAGGAACCCAAGCGTGCTGGGTTCGCAAGGATGCTTGCCTGGGCTCGCACCGAACCCAGCATGCCTGGG